TTTTTTTAAATACATGTCACAGGTTAGGCATCCTATGCCTTGCCTGAGGGATTCCTCCCAAGCCTACAGACACGCGCACCTGGTGCAGTGCAGCTCGCAGATATTCCTGCTCCATTTCGGCTCGCCGAGTTCTTCTCCGCCTCTGATGAAGACTTTATGGTGGTCGGGATTGAATGAGAAATGATTAGAGATGATGGCGTGGAAGTACACGGTGACTCCTCTGCCCGGGCTCAGCGTCCTGATGGAAAACCAAAACGGAAATCTGATTCCCATGAGATCTGTCCACCCGCCATGTACATGCACGCACATGCACACACACATGTGCACACAGGTACACGCACACGTACACACAAGCACATGCACACACGCGCACACACATCCGTGCACGTGCACAAGCACAAACACACGCACATGCACACACATGCACATGCACACATGTGCGCACACACACACACACACACAGGCACATGGTCCTTGTGTTCCTAATGCACACTATCACACCCTAGCAAAAATGCAAGCACATCCATGTCTGACACACGACCCCCTGTGGGGTCGTCTCTTCCCTGTCTCCAAAATGGAGGAAGAAGAGGTGGCCAGTCCCTGCCCATCTCTGAAGTGCTACAGGCAGTGGCAAGAGGCACCAGCAGGTGTCTGAGCCAGAACAGCCCCTCTCCTGAGTTCCAAAAGGCCCACGCGGGCTCCAGGACCCCAGGGGCTATTAGGAAACAAGAAACTGGCACAGGTGCCCGCCCCCGTCCACCTCCTAAGTGGTTCCCTTTTCCCCCAAAGTTAAACTTGCCAAAACAGTTGACTAGAAGGGCAGCCTGGATATCCCCTGGGAGCTGTGCAGGGAGAGGGTGTGCCGGGCTCTCAGGCAGGGTCTCCTTTGCTCCCCTGCGGGGTCATCCCTACCTTGCCTTCACTTCCTGGACACCCGCTTTCTGGTTTTTTTGTTCCTTCTCCTTTTTCGCAGCAGCTGCACTTTTGTTCTTCCCCTCTGGCTTCTTGGGGTCTTCAGGCTCCCCTTGCTCATTTTTACCGACTTTTTCTCCAGCAGTAGCCGTCTCGTCCTTGGTCTTGGTCTCAGCTTCCTGGAACAAGGAACCAAACCCCGACCTTCAAGGCTGGCCTCCACATTTTCTTTTTTTTTTTTTTTTTTGAGACAGAGTCTCGCTCTTATTCCCCAGGCTGGAGTGCAGTGCTGCAGTCTCAGCAGCTCACTGCAACCTCCGCCTCCCAGGCTCAAGCAATTTTCCTGCCGCAGCCTCCCGAGTAGCTGGGAACTACAGGCACACAACACCATGGCTGGCTAATTTTTGTATTTTTAGTAGAGACGGGGTTTTACCATGTTGGCCAGACTGGTCTTAAACTCCTGACCTCAGGTGATGCACCCGCCTGGGCCTCCCAAGTGCTGGGATTACAGGTGTGAGCCACCGCGCCCGGCCCAGCCTCCACATCGACCCCTACAGGGGACGCTTCTCACAGCGGACTGAGTGACCACAACCCTTCCCTGCTTGGGACCTTCCAGTGCCGTTGGGGTCACTAATCACAGCCTCCAGGGGCGCCGCTCTCCATCCTCATTGGTGGCCTCTCCTCCCCCAACTCCTCCTGGGAGCACTGGTGTCCCTGCTGCTCTGAGAACAGGCCCACCCCACACTGCCCCAGGGCCTCTGCACATGACCTTCCCATCGTCTGGGACACATCCCAGACACCTCCGGGACCATCCCTCACCATCTCCTCAGAGAGGCCTTGCCCGGCCACTCGGGCTGTGGGGGGCCACGGTACCTCGGGGCCCACCCCAGTGCCCTCTCCCCTCCCTCCCTCCACGCTCCTCTCACTGCTGAGGTCGGTTTCCTGACTCTCTCTCCTCCAGAATGTGAGCACCCCGAAGGCCAGGGCTTTGTCTGAATCACGGCTATATCCCCAGCACTTAAATAGTCACTGAATAATTAAATGAAAGAGGGGCAGCCGTGGGCAGGACGAGGGCCTCCCGGAGCCGGCAGGCAGGAAGGAGACGCACCTGGCAGTGTGTTTTGGAAGCAGCAGTGGTTGTTGGCAGCTGTTTCATTCCCTGGATCTTCTCTTTCATTTCCTTCCCAGCCCCTTTAACTGCATTGGCTGGCTCAGCTGCAGCATCAACTGCCTGCAAGACCCCAAACACCAGAGCCAAGGTGACCAAATGGACCAGGGTGACTCGGACACGGTTTAAGGGTCAGTGTCTGCCACAAGCCTAGGGACAGGAGGGGCCGGCGTCCCGGGTGGAGGGTCAGCCCTCCCACCCCACCCAGGGAGAAGGGCCCAGAGGACACCCTCCCTGGCAGGGAAGCAACGCCAGCACCTTGCAGCAGAGCCCAGGTGCCGAGGGCTCAGTGCCACTCCTGGCCATCTCTCTCGGATGACTCACCGTAGAGGCTGGGGTCCCCGCCTGCTGCCTGGTGGTCTGCGGTTCTGTCCCGGGCTCAGAGCTGCCCCTTTTCGACTCAGGCAACAGGAGCTCCTGGGCAGCATCTTCATTCCCAGGACGGCCTTTACCAGCAGAGGTGGGGGGACCGGCCCCCTCCTGGGACAGGCCTCTGCCCCCAGAGGGGATGGAAGCGTCCTTGTCCTCCCCTTCTGTGTGGTCCTGGGGTTGGCGGCTGCTCTGAGCCTCACCTCCTGTGGCCACTCCTGCTTCTCCCAAAGCCTGAGCCTGCAGGGGGCTGTCACCAACCTTGGTGGGCACGGAGGGACCGTCACCCTCCAGTGGCATGGTGGCTGTGCCCGGGGCCTGGCTCGGCTGGCCAGTCGGGCCACTCTGCTGGGCTTGGCTGTGGGGCCGGGCTGCGTCCTGAGGCTCCGGGTTTGAAAGCAAAGTCAGATGACAGGGGCTGGCAGGAGACAGGGACAAGGAATCCAGCTCTGAGGAAGCGGAGTTGTTCAGATTCTTTTTCTTCTTCCTTTTCTTCTTTTTGCTCTAAACAGAAAGACAGACACTCACTTTACTTCTTAGATTTAGTGTACTCTAGCCCACGTTTCCCTCCAACTTTCTCTCCCATTTCTCAGCTACATCAAGCTTCGCTCAACCAAAGTGCCTAACACCTGTTAGATCTGCAATTACCTGGAAAGAATGAAATTAAGAAACAAAAGTTGGGGATGGGCAGGGTCAGGGGCAAGTGGCCTTGAAGTGCTTTTACCACACTCAGCACGGTCACGGCCAGGCGGAGACCCTCACACGGGCTCACTGCTTATTGGGCATCCACGGATATGGATATTTATTTATTTATTTGAGACAAGGTCTCCCTCTGTCGCCCAGGCTGGAGTGCAGTGGTGCAACCCCGGCTCACTGTAGCCTCAACCTCCTGGGCTCAAGTGATCCTCCCACCTCAGCCTCCTGAGTAGCTGGGACTACAGGTGAGCATCACTGCGCCCAGCTAATTTTTTGTTTGTTTGTTTTGTGTAGAAACGGGGTTTCGTCATGTTGCCCAAGCTGGTTTTGAACTCTGGGACTCAGGCGATCTGCCCACCTGGGCCTCCCGAAATCCTGGAGTTACAGGCGTGAACCACCATTCCCAGCTGGTTTTTAAAAATGCTTTGTAGAGACAGAGTCTCACTATGTTGCCCAGGCTGGTCTCCAACACCTAGGCTCAGGCCTCCCAAAGTGTGGGATTACACACGTGAGCCATGGTGCCTGGCCTGGTTTTGAACATTAGGAAGCACACACAGGCTTTCCACATTTTATGCACCTCTATAAAAATATTTCGTACACAAAATTTGAAATGAGAAGGAGGAGACTGAAAAATGAGTAGCAGCTGCCTCCGCACCCTCAGCAGGCACAGCCAGGCTCGAAGGCACATCCAGGTTCAGGGGTACCGTCCCCACCTTGGAACCAGGACTGCAACTGGTGGGAGGAGGCTGCCAGGACCCTGGGACCCCACAGGCATCTCCCAGGGGATGGTGCTCAGGGGTGCGTGCTGATCGGGTCACTACAGGAAAGTGACTTGCAGATCCCCTGAAACCTGGTGGTGTGTGATGAGGGCCCCGAACTGCCAGGCAGCAGGTGTGAACCTGTGCCCACTCCACGCCCCCCACCTCCTGCACCCACACGCCTGGGAAGACCCGCACACACTGAGGTGCAGCCCAGGGGCTAATCTACCCTCTCCTCAGCAACTGGTAGCAAGGGGACTAGGAAGGGCCACAGGGTCCCATCACTGCCACTTCAGGAGCCCCTCGGCTGATGGCTGGCCCCTGTGTGGCCCCAGGAGGAGGCTGCGTTCCCACCCACCCAGGGCATGGCGAAGCAGCAGCTGGACAGGGCTGCGCCCCACGGCTTCCAGGAGGCCAGGCCGACACTGCAAGGCCTTCTCTCTCACACACGACCGCACTTCCTGCCAGAACCAGGGCCAGAAATTCCGATTTTCTCCTTTTTAAATTCAGAGGAAACCCACGCTCAGTGTACACAAAGCACAGGAGGCCCCCCGCCCCCCGCCACCTGCCCCCCGACCCGTAACATCTCCCCAGGCCACAGTTCGGCTCTAGCCTCCTGCTCGGCCTGCATCCCTGATGCCGACCCCAGGCCACCAACCCACCACACCGCTGAGAGCACCTGGTCCCGTTCCTGGGAGCAAGCACCACCCCTGAAATGACACACTTGGAGCATTTGGGTGCAGACAGGGAAGACTCACTCCCAGCGCAGCGTGACTCTAAAATGGCGCTTCATTGAGATCTGGCCACTGCACTCCAAGCTGGGCGACAGAGTGAGACTCCATCTCAAATATTGAAAAAAAAATAGGTCGGGCGTGTTGGCTCAGGCCTGTAATCCCAGCAC